GACAGGAGGCAAGTCCTACTGGAACATATATTTATATCTTCATTAAGCACATCAGCAGAAGGAAGCATGTTGTACTTTATTTTTTCCGGATAGACTGCAGCATCGACTGTAGTTGACAGGGTGGTCAAGACCAGCAGATGAAATTAAAAACAAAATCACCCCTTACCTTAGAAATGTCACTCTGGACTTAAAGCAATGTAGAGTCTAGAGTCCTCTCAGTTTACGCCTTTCACTTGGTATAAATAGAACTATAATCAGACTTTTTCATTTAGTCATTCATGAGGCCTTGTCTCTCCTAAACAATTTATCAATTAATAAACAATCTTTCAAACTTAGGGTCCTGTCACACCTTGGCGATTTAGGCAGCGTATGCCTGACGTCCCAGAATCTCCTAAAATGCTGGCATACGCTGAACTTTCTATGTATTTTTTCAATTTTGGGCGTATATATAAGAGTATTCATAACAAGTCCAAAACTTAGGTCCAACAACAGCCGAAGTTAAGCATAACGCACGGCAGTGTAAAACCCATGAAATGATGCACTAGCCAGTGTCCTAAAAAGATATCTATGATCACAATATTAACTTGGCTTCTTTTAAATACCCACCCAGAAAAAAAGTTGGTTAGCAGCCGCAGCAGATTCAGCGTCATGTCTGCTAGGAAGTTTTTTGGCCATGGCCATGAATACAGGGAGGATCCTTCACACTCACCTTCCCCCTCACCCTATGATGGGGATGCAGTGTGGAGGAGAACTGAAAGTTTCCTCCTGTGAAACCACCCTTTTATACCAAAATGCTGCCAATACGCCATTATATAGTAGCTGTAAGTAAGAAATACATTCAGCGGTCGTCTGCAACACGTCAAATACTTTGGTATGCATTGGAGACAAGTTCATGACTCCATGACTTATAAGTAACTTACACTTAATATTTGTCAGATAACTATAAGATAACTTACCTGTAACTTACGGCCTACATATGAGCATACGTGGCATACGTTGGCATACATTTCTCAACGTTCTTGTCGTATGTCGACGTGTGCCAGCGTGTTTCAGCGTGCTCAGAACTTATACAAAACATACCCATAACTTATCCAACGTATGCCAGCATTTTGTTTTGTTTTTTGGAGTTTTACGGCACTAGTAGCTTGTTTTTTCAACAGTAGGCTGATAGGAAAGAGGGTATGAGAGAGGGAGACATGCAGCAGATGAGCACAGGTTGGATTTGAACCCGAGTCGGCCGCGTCGAGGACTAAGGCCTCCGTACATGGGTCGTACTCGCTAAATACACCACCTGCACACCCTGCCAGAGTTTTTGCCAGGTATTACAATACGTCTGGCATACGCTGGTCTAAATAGTCAAAGTGTGACAGGTGCTTTAGTCCTACATACATCTAAACAGAATAGAACAAAGAAGAGAAGGAGGAAACGACTTTACCATCAGAATAAATCAGGCAGTTCTCTCATTGCATCTCTTGTAATATGGATGCACACAAGTGTGTCTAATTCTGCAGCTCAGATATGATCTACTGCACTAAATTAGTTGGTGCTAATCCCAAAATGATGAACATCATTAATATCAGCATGTGGGTTCATGATGGCACCAGTGCAGCATCACAGTGACACCAGCTACAATAAAATCTACCTAATTGAGCATTTTAAATGCAGTCAGAATGAAGTTTTATCGACAGGTGCTCAGATCTTATGTCTGTCTGTCACTGCTGTAGGTGAAGGACAGAAAGGCTTACATTCCTCCAAAGGCCACCCTCCCTCTAACAGCTGTCTCAGATGCACAGAGCTTGGGTTATGCATGTGTAAACCGACACACAAACATCACATTGGGGGAGCAGCAGGGGGTCAGTCTCACTCAAAGAACAAAACAGACATAAATAAGCTGCTGATCTGAGGAAAGGACAGCTGAGGACAGTTTGTGTGAGGCGGCATTTCCAGGTGTCAGGTGGTCTGGAACCAGCCAATCGTAATCGAGGGTCAGTAGGTATGTTTGAATTCAGGGAAAAGAGGTTAGCCGATGGGAGGGTTTTTGGGGGGAGAGAAGAGGGAGAGATGTGAATGCTAAAACAGCAGAGGACAACAGCAGCTCTCTGGGAGCGCGGCTCAGAAAAGCAAACACAGCATCAAGCGACAGGAAGCGCCTCGCCCGGCACAAAGGGCAGAGCTGACGCTTCTTTCAGGGGCTCAGAAAGAGAGGAACAGAGGAGGACGGGACGTTTTGTTGGAAGGAGTCCGTTCTGGTTCAGCATGACACCAAACAGAAAGCAGAGGAGGTCTACAAAACTTTATCTTCCTAATAAGTTACAATTCGACCAGACATAAAAACTCATTGTTTGGATTTATAGATTATTGTTATGGAATAATTTAGAATATCCAAAATATAGACCTCCTTTCAAAATGATTAAAAGCTGAATAAAAAAAGCGCTACTGTGGAAGACCTGTGAGCTTTCCATGGACAAGAGCCTTCCTCTGACCCTGAGAGAATAAAGAAGGTGTAGGAAACATTGAATGAGTTACGCTGGGTTGCATCATCTCTACTGTAAACAACAATTTCCCTTTGATACATAATAAACCCAACTCCCTCTAAATGTCAACGATTTCCCTTAAAAACTTAAATGAATCACTTTGACCCATAGAAAGACTGTACACTGAATCTGTTGTCTCTATCTGCTCTCCTCGTTGAGAGAAACTCCAAAAGTTGACGTCCAGAGGCAGGAGATCCACTCTGGATAATCTATGATTTAGTACAGCCAACTTTGAAAGACGCTTATATACAGCAGCTTGTTCCAGATTTCCTGACCAGAGGTAAGGCTCTCTGTCACATCAGGGTTGCAGCATCTCCCGATACAGAGCATTTATATTGGAAAAACACTGTACAGTAGAATACTTATTTGTTCCCCATTTTTGGACAATAAAGGGATTTTCTATTTGATTCTATTTCTATTAAAGTAAGAAATATCTCCTTTTGAAGCTGTATGATGGTGCA